ATGATTATCCATTATTACTTTGTCCCCAAGCTATACTAGAGTTTATCTTATTTTTAGTCTTATCCCATATGTAGCTTTGGCCCCAAGTTTCTTTGCTATATATAAGTGTAGAGATCGTGAGTTGAGAAGGAATAATAAGAAGATGAGAGTTGTTAGAAGTAGAGAACTTGATCTCTCTCTTGTGCACTCTTCTTCTCTCTTTCATAATTATTTCAAGTCATATACATATAATAAAATAATATTATATGTTGTTTACGTTATATTTATAACACGTTATCAGGACGATATCTTTACCGCTTGAGCGTTTACGAGGTAAGTAAAATTAAATGTTGTTCACATTCATTTATGTTTATAGAATGTAAATATTTTAGACGTCGTGAGACTATGCCTTTTTCCGGTTTGATCGTTATAAATGGTAGGCTTTGCCTTCTTTATGATGAAATAAAAAGCTATGTTTTTTCCGGATAGATCGTTATATATGGTAGGCTATGCCTTCTTTACGATCAAATAAATGGCTATGCTTTTTCCAGATCGATCGTCATATATGGTAGGTTTTACCTTCCTAACGATCAAATGAAAATTTATATTTTTCCGGATTGATCGATATATATGGTAGGCTCTGCCTCCATCTCTACGATCAAATAAAAGCTATGCCTATTTAATTCTTAATGGAAGGTGATGCCTCCTGAATTCTTGTATAAAAAGGCTATGGTCTCTATATTATTATTTTTGTGAATTTATGTGTTTAATTATTTTTATTTATTTTATTCATAAAGAATAAATATATGTGTTATATGAAATTTAAAGACTTTGAAATATGTCTTTAAAATCAAATATATATTTCTCTTTTGAGAATATATGAAGCACGTGTCAATATACAGTGCAAATTAATTGGAATGTCTAGATGAGCTAGTCTCTCGACTTCCAAATGCATCAGATTCATAATAATCGATGCTTTGTGTACTCCAAAGTCTCAAAGAAACTCGTGTAGTTTCTAATATATTTTTCTTTATAATTATTGTATTGATACTATAAATAAATGTGGTATCGAATGTTTGACCACAATGGAGACACGCATATGTATGATTATATTATGCAAAATAAAGATGGCAAAATTATTTATAATAGTAAACATGAAGTTTACTAATGCTTTAAGCATAGCATAACCGGTTAAGCCATCCCGGTAGAAAAATGCAATTAAAAATAATGATCCAGATCCAGGATCCGTATCAGTGCCAGCAAGGGCCTGATTGAAAAAAAAAACAAAAGTGTAATATATTGAATTGTTCTTCCTTAATAAAAGAGATGTCTTTGGACCTCTTGTCACTACATCTAAAGATGTAAAACCTGTTATGTGCAAGTGGGTTTTCGTGCGTAAAAGTTGAAATCACACGATATAAAGTCCGACTTGTTGCACAAGGTTTTTCTCAAAGACCTGGAGTTGATTAGGAAACAAAAATCTCCGGTCATGAATGTAATTACATTCAGGTACTTAATGAGCCTAATGGTCTCTTATAATTTAGAAATGTACCTTATGGATGTAGTGACAACATATTTATATGGATCAATGGATAACAATATATACATGAGAATCCGAGAAGGATTTAAAGTTCCAGAGAGGCATTAGACTCAAAGTCTAATGGAAATAAATACGGTCAAATTACAACGATCACTTTACGGATTAAAATAATCTGGTGTAGTCGTTTGAGCGATTATTTATTAAAGAAAGGGTATGTTAATAATAAAATATGCCCTTGTGTCTTTATTTAAAAATCTCTTTCGAGATTTGTGATTATTGCTGTATATATTGTTGACCTTAATTGGAACTCAAAAAGAGTGATTAAACATCACTAAAAATTTATGTAAAGAAAGAGAAGCTTATTCAAGCATTGCATGCTTCCGTCCATATTTCTGAGGTAACATTTACTTTATGTTAAATTTATTTAAATTCATTTATTTTTATATTATATCGAGTCGAAGGTTGCATACCTTCTCTTTAATTCTGTAGTAGGCTATGCTTCCAGAATCATATGGTTTTTGGCCAAATTGCCATTTTTTTTGTTTAATAAGTTCATTGTATATGCTGGTTGATTTCCTCAATAAACCTCAAATTAAACCCCGAATATAACCAATCTAAAAATAAGATTCGGTCCAAGATAAATAGGTTTAAAAAGCCATCATCTTGAGAAGAGGTATTACAAGTCCCACATTTTTATAAGGATCTAAGATTAAATACATGTTCCAGATTGGATATATTGTTGATCCTAAAGTGGGATTCAATTCGAGATGAATGAACTCGAAGAGTTATCATCTCGAGGGGGAGAATTAGAGGAATCCCACATCGACAATAAGTCGATAAATTTTGGTGAGTTTGACACCCCAGAGCGAGTTTCATAATTATTTCAAGTCATATACATATAATAAAATAATATTATATGTTGTTTACGTTATATTTATAACAAAATTAACGTTAAAAAATGCTTTAATTAAAGTAAAAAAAAAAAGGGAAATAAGAAAGGAAAAATGGAAATATGGAAATATGGAAGAAAAAAAGGAAATTACATTAACGCGTTAAACAAATTTTAATCAGAGTTTTTTTTGCTTATATAAACAAATAACATTACACTTTAACTTCTCCACAATTTCAATTTCTCAATCTCTTTCTTACGACTGATCATCTTTCACTCTGTCTCTGAGTTTTGTCTAATTTCACTCCGACAATGGAAACTGAAGCAATCAAACTCGATGTTCATGTAAAGGCTTTCTCTCAAGCTCGGTCGTTAGGGTTCTTCAGTACGGTAGTAATCAGTCTAGTCAGAGAAGTCGAGGAATTTATCATTAACGACAAGGATGATAGTGTCACGAGTCTCAGATCTTACCCGGATTCTTATCTCCACGACCCACTAATCTCTCTGAAACTCCCAAGTTTCAAACCAAACTACGTCTATCAACTTCTCCATACCCAACTCCACGATCATGTCATGTCCGAACAAATATCTTATAAGATTGTCGAAGCCCAACAACGGCAAAGAAGTCAAAGTTTTTACTTTCCACAACAACAACCTTTATTCATGATAGTCTCTGTCAAATTGACACACAAAGTATACAACGTTGTGTCTTGTAATTCTGCTTTGGACCAAGAGAGCCAAGAAGAAGAAGAAGAATCCAAGACTTGTGCTATCTGTTTGGAGAATTTGTCGAGATCCGAGGATTACTGCGAGATGCCTACTTGTTCGCATAGTTTTCATGAACCATGTCTCACTCAGTGGTTGACTCGAGATAATAACTCGTGCCCTCTCTGTCGCAAACCTGTTGACAAACAACCAGAGTGAAACAGACTCTAATTAGGGTTTCAAATATGTTTTATTTGTTAACTTGTTTCGGAAGTATTTAGGGGTTTTCACTTTTATGTTTTGTCTAAGAGGCAAATTAGGGTTTTTTCATAGTTTCTGTATCTGTTTTTGTTGGCAACATGTAATCAGTTTGATTTAATGAAATTCAGATTCTCTAGCCTTGAAGTTACCATTATTAATTTCATTTACAAAAGGAATAGTTTCGGTGAGTTTACCATCTTTCACATTCAATTCGTCCTGTTCTATCATCAAGAGTAAATCTGACTTCTGTGACGTTAGACATCTTTGTCACACACTAGACCAATAAATGACACCTAATTATACCAAAAAATACATCACTCAATTGAGTAAAACTTTTATTCATATTGAAGAATAACGATAAACAGAGAGATCTAGAAATTGTTTACGTTTGTTATTGAGATTCCATTGATGACGAGACTAGATTTTTCACCACTAGACTAAAAACAGTCAGTGATTTGCCTCACCGTAATTGGAACAAGACCTTGAAACTCACGATTCTGCAATTCCCATAACATGTACAAAGAAGATTTAGCAATCCAAAAATCGATCAATCTAGGGCAAATCAATTGTTCCAGAGAAACGTATGAATTGTATCTAATTGGCTTCTGGAGAACATTTTCAAATCTCGGAAATCGGAAACATTTTTCAAAACATGTTCTGTTTTTGTGTGGTTGTAATGTTTTTAGTTAATCCGTGTGCCCGAAGTCTAATTAGGGTTTCACTTATGTTTTAGATTTAATATTTTTCCTAGCCTTTATTGATATCGATACCTTTTTGTTGACAACTTGTATTTGTAATGCAAATAAATATGTACAAAAGCGTAGCTAAGAGATGAAAGCAAAAAAAGCTTGACTTTGTAGCTCTACAATTACAAGGCAAAGATTTGAAAACAGAGCAAAAATAGCTCACTTCACTAAACAGCTCAAACCAACCTCGGCTGCACCAATTCCTTCTACGGTACGTTTCTCAATCTGCCTTATATCATATTTGGCGAGAGAGAAACGCAAGAAGGCATGGAGAAATTCCCTCACCTCATGATCGACTCATTAAGCTCATTGACAAGAATGTTCGAAACCGACTTAGTGCAATCCGGGATATGGGAGACCAGAGATACGAAGGAGCGCTACGGATGTGGTTTGCCACACGTTCTATGGTATAATAGAGAGTAGACATTCGATTTATGCTTCAAACTTTTTCAACTTCCTTTCCAAAAAAGTAAACAATAGCTGATGCAGTCATTGCGAACAAGGTTTTTGATTGAATACAATTTTACATTCAATTCAAAAAAAGAAAACAGAGCAAAAATAAGAGCCATTTGATTAGATGCTTCGCACGGCTTGAGGCGTGACAAGAAACCATTGTTGGAGAAGATCTCGGAGATTCGGTATAATGAGATATGTTTTACCAACAATAAAAAAAGGAAATACAACAATAAATGAACATTAAAAAAGCTTTAATGACAAAAATTCGTTTTGTTGCTTATATAAACAAATAACATAACCCTAAGCGCCGTATTTCTTGCATCTCAAGCTCTTATCAATTCATAACTTGTGAGTTGTGAGCCAGAGCCTGTGTGATTGATCTTTGTTTCTACTTTGATTCACGGTTAAGAACGAGCACTTGATAATGTTGGACATCGATCTATATCGAAGAAATCCGGAGATCATCCGAGAGTCTCAGCGCCGGAAATTCGCCAGCGTCCAAGACGTTGATGAGATAATCATTCTCGACCAACTATGGCGTCAGCGCAAATATGATTATGATTGTGTCCAAAGAGTGTTCAACAAGATAAACAATTCTGTGGCCAAGCTCAAAATATCTGGTGCTGATGCAACTGAGCAGATTAAGCAAGCAGAGATTATCAAACAAGAAGCAACCAAGAAAGGTGTGGAAGTTGGTGAAGCTTTTGCTGCTTTGCAAGACAAATTGTTGACAGTAGGAAATCTCATCCATGACTCGGTTCGAATTTGTGACGATGAGGCTTTTAATGAAGAGATCAACGTTTGGGGTGAAAAGCCGGTTGCGAAGCGAAAATCCCATGTGGATCTCGTGGAGCTTCTCGATATTGTTGATACCAAGAGAGGTGCTAAAATATCTGGAGCTAGAGGGTTTTTACTAAAAGGATATGGTGTTGCTCTTAACCAAGCTCTTATCTGTAAATGCAAGAGCTACTAAGTTTTGAATTAGTTCATGATGCAACTCAGAATTTCTCAAAAACTCTTTCGATTAATAGAAAATATGTTTACAAGGTTTCTCCTTTAACACTATTTTCTATTCTCACTAAGTCTTGTTCCTTAATCACAGACCGATTAAGAACAATAACTCTCCTTAAAACCCTTAGCTCTCGTTAAGCCTCTAGTTCTCTATTTCTCTCAAACTAAGACTTAATAGCTAGGAATTCTCTCTCGTGATTGTGCTAAGCTTTCTGCAAGCCTTAGCACCCTATTTATACTAAATAGGTTGAGACCATACAACAGGTCGATTTCCAATTCTAAAACTAATTGGAATGGACAATTTCCTTTTTCTTTATGGAATAGGAAATTGTCCTTTGTCTTCATGTTTTCCTTTTCTTCTTGCAAAAGGAAACTCTTCAGTCTTCTAGAATCTTCTCTAAGCTTCTAGTCTTCACTTCAAACCGCCATAACAAGATTCTGCATATTTCCTTAATCTTGTTCATGTTGCTCTGTTCTCTTGAGTTACTTCTTGACTTAGTTCAGGTACTCCTTCAGAAGCTGCATCTTCAATCTCCCCCTTTTTAATCTTGTGTCTCTCAAGCACCTGCATTTGAAATCTTCTATCTTTTGTAGACATTTTTCATCTCAAGCAATCACAAAATTTAAACACCCGAAGTTTAAAAACTTTTAGCAACATTGTCCAACACAAATTAACTCCCCCAGAATCTGAGAATCAAGCAACAACAAAGTCTGGAGTTTAAACAAAATTATCAAATAACTACTCCCCCACAACACATGAACTCCCCCAGAATCATAGCCATACTTCTTTTTCTCCCCCTGCTTGAGAGCTCAAGGTTAAAAACCAAACTTCCTACAATCTTTTAGACAAAGGATGACTGAGAACAAGTTGTTGGATTACTTCATTCATCTTGGAGATAGCCTGAGCTGTGTCTAACAAAGCCATAAACATTCCCTCTCTATCATCCTCATCAGGGTGAGGCAGGCGGATGCTTCCAATGTCCACAACAGTATAGCCTTGATACTCTGGATTAAACTGAGAAGAAGGTTCCGAGACATTTTGAGGAGCAGTTCTTGAAGTATTTGGCTGAGTGCTAGCTTTTGCTTTGCCCTTCATCCTTTCAGTGTAAGCTTGACCAGTTCTGACATCCTTTTTGTAGAACTTAGGAGTCACAAACTTTTCTCCAGAATAGATTGTCACTTCTTTTTGACTTATGAGCATCCCATATATGATTCGGGGAAACACTAACCATCTTTCATCCTTGTTCTGAACAAGTGACATCACTTGATTAAAGATCATCTTACCAACATCAATTATGATTCCATGAAAGATCTTGTAGATGAGCTGAGCTCTCTCAACTGAAACATAATCTGGATTAGAGGAAGGAATCCAATTCTGAGCAGTGATTCGTAGAAGAGCTCCAATTCGAGGAGAAAAATTCTTGAATACTAAATCATCCCAGCCAGTCTTCTCATCTTCACTTAGCAGTTCTGCAAGTTGTTCTTTTCCAACAGAATCAGCATCACTATCTGCCTTAAGTTCCTCTTTGGTTAAATCTTTAAAACCAAGAAATTTATTGATTTTCTTTGGTGAAAACTCATAGTCATGCCCTCTGACAAACACACTGACCTTCTCAGCATTTTCTTCAGACTTTTCACAAGGAAGATTTGCATAAAATTCAGACACTACTTCCCGCACATAACTTCCAAGATTTGTCACTGTAGATTCCAATCTCGCATTCTTGATCAAGGTTAAGTAACCCCAAGAATCCTCTTTTTCTAAATCAATCAGGCGTTCCTCAATCAAGTTTCTATTTTTAAACAAATCATACCTTGCTCTAGCTTGAGATGATGAAAATAGCTTTGATCGAAAGCTTTTCTTGGAAGGACTTTTGCCTGAGCCTGAAGCCTTGATAGATTTGCTTTTCTTTGAAATTGGTTCAGCCTTCTTCTGTTTCTTCTTTGGAGGAGCTAGATCTAGCTGTTTAAAGACTCTTTTCTTACGAGCTTCCTTCTCCTTCTGATTTTTCTGAAACTGTTCTTCAACAGTCATTTCAGTTGGTTGAATCTCAACATCAGAGACATGAATTGCTTCGTCCCTTACTACTTCTTCAGTATTTTCTTCTTCTTTGTCAGACAATTCTGGATCTGCATGTGGAAAAACTCGATTTTCCTCTCCTAGAATCACAGTATCCTCAGTTGATTTTGATTTCTCAGCCGAAATTTGGTCAGATCTGATGATGTCTTCATCGATTTGAGACACCCGTCGACTTGATTCCTTGATTTCACCACGAAGATCCTCAGATTTTTCAATTTCTTCTTCTGGCACAGTGTCTGTTGACACATCCTCTGTAGGTTTGACTCCATTGACTTGTTCAGAAAGTACCTCAGTTTCTCCATCAAGCTTCTTTGATTCTTCCTCAGGTTTCCTGATTTCCTCAGACTCGTTGCTTTTATTTTCTTCATTAGCTGTTGCAAATGAGTCATCTTCATCACCACAAGGAACAAGAGAAGGAGGCGCTGCAATAGATTCGTCAATCAGTTGCGGATTAGCTTCAACTCCATCAGAACGATCTTCTGCAGTTGTTCTTCTTCCACCGATTGGACCTCTGTTAGTAGCTTTCACTATTGTCGCGATTTGAGAGTTTTTCTCCAAGGATTTTCTTGCTTCTTCTTTTCTTAGGGTTTTCGAAAACTTTTCATTTCTTTGTTTTGCTCTTCTCCCAACGAATATTTTCACCAAGATTTGAGAAAATCCTTTTTATGATTGCATATCCTTTTTTAAAAAATTCAAAAACTCGATTTTTGCCAAAAACAAACCGGAATAAACCATTCTTGGAACTTCTAATGTGATAAACCAAACCAGAAATTTTGAATTGAACCGTATCTTCATAACCATATCAGCTCTCATGTTCTCTGACTGAGTCAGATCATAGTTCACATACTCCAAGTGAATTTCTTAATGTGACGAACCTGTTGAAGTCCAATGCCTTTGTAAAAATATCTGCCAGCTGAATCTCTGTCCCAACATGATCAATCTTAACCTTCTTTTCTTCAACCAATTCACAAATAAAGTGATGTCTTACATCAATGTGCTTGGTTCTTGAATGTTGCACCAGATTCTTTGAGATATCGATTGCACTCTGATTATCACAGTAGACTTGAAGAACTCTAGAGTCTATTCTATAATCTGCTAACATTTGCCTCATCCAAAGTAACTGTGTGCAACAACTTCCCATGGCAATATACTCAGATTCTGCGGTAGATATTGACACAGAATTTTGCTTCTTACTCAACCAAGCAATTAGATTGTTTCCAAGAAAGAAACATCCTCCGCTTGTACTCTTTCTGTCATTCACACTTCCTGCATAATCAGCATCACAGTAACCAACCAGATTTTGATTTGAGTTTTATGAATACCAAATACCAAGATCTACAGTTCCTCTGACATACTTCAGAATTCTCTTCACAGCTTCAAGATGAGACTGTTTAGGCTTTGCTTGATATCTAGCACAAACTCCAACACTTAGACATAAATCAGGTCTGCTAGCTGTTAGATATAAGAGACTTCCAATCATTCCTCTGTAAGTTTTGACGTCTACATCTGTTCCATTTTCATCTCTTGATAATTTCAATGAGGTACTCATAGGAGTTTTAGCTTCTTTGCATTTATCCATTTGAAACTTCTTCAAGATCTTCTTAGCATAAGTACTCTGTGAGATGTAGATTCCTTCATCCGATTGAACTATCTGCAATCCCAAGAAATACTTCAATTCACCTACCAAACTCATTTCAAACTCTTTTGTCATGTTCTCTATAAACTGATCCACCAACTTCTGAGAAGTACTCCCGAAAATAATATCATCAACATAAATCTGCACCATCATGTTCTCTTTGTTTTCTTCAAGAATAAACAAAGTTTTATCAACACTTCCTCTGTTGTAACCTTTCTCAAGCAGAAAGTTAGTCAGCCTTTCATACCATGCTCTAGGTGCTTGTTTGAGTCCATATAGAGCCTTCTTTAACTTGAAAACATACTCAGGCTTCATCATATCTTCAAATCCTTTAGGTTGCTCAACATATACTTCTTCTTGTAGTATACCATTTAGAAAAGCACTTTTAACATCCATTTGATGAACCGTGAAGTTAAGAATACAAGCCATTCCCAAGAAAAGTCTGATTGATTCAAGTCTTGCTACAGGTGCAAACGTTTCTTCAAAGTCAACACCTTCGATTTGATTATACCCTTGTGCTACCAATCTTGCTTTATTTCTGACAACTACTCCTTTTTCATCACTCTTGTTCTTAAAAATCCATTTGGTTCCTATAATATTTGTATCCGCAGGTCGTTTAACCAATTCCCAAACTTCATTTCTTTCGAACTGTTCTAGCTCTTCCTGCATAGCAATGATCCAGAAATTATCTTCAAGTGCTTCAACATGATTCTTTGGTTCAACGGATGAAACAAAGCATTGAAACTGCAAAGTTTCCCATTCTGCAAAATTACTTGTCATCTTCTTGAAATCAAGCTTTACACCTCTGGTTTTCATCGGATCTTGGAGATCTCCAATGATGTCTGATGATGAATGATTTTTGTGTACCTGAATTTTCTGAGCTTCTTTGTGACTATCTTCTTGTTCTACCGATGAACCATCCACTTTTTCTTTAACCTCTTTATTGGTTATCTCATCCGGTTCTGTGTCACTTTCTTCAAGTTCTTCACTAACCTTTGACACATAATGATCATCAAATACAACATTAACTGATTCCATAATAGCACACGTTCTTTTGTTGTAGATTCTGAATGCTGTACTAGTCTCTGAGTAACCCAGAAACATGCCTTCATCACTTTTGGAATCAAATTTTCCAAGGTAGTCTTTGTCATTCAGTATATAGCATCTGCATCCAAACACGGAAAG